GTCTTTATCTAGTTGGAATCTGGGAACACAAATATTTTTGTATTGTGGAGGTTGCCTAAACACATTTGAGTTAATTGAGCGACAGGAAGCCTTTTACTGTTGGGACTCCAAAAGCAGTCCAACTGAGGGGAAGGCAAGAGCAAACAAGAGACCCACAGGCCAACAAAAGAAAACAGAACAGGGCACTGCCTGTGGCTCAAATAGCCACCCGTAAGACCTTATGCCTGAAGGTGGCATCAGTGGATGCAGGAACATCCATCTGGTAAAACAGAGTGCCTCGACAGGAAAGGGTGGGACCTGAAGTGGAAAGGAAATTAAGCGGACATATATTAAAACAAAATAAAAGATGGGGTGGGGAAACGGGAGCTTTTAGCCATAATGTGCTAGTATGCAATGCATATTAGCACATTATGACAGTCTCGCATGCACAATCTTTCCCCCTCCAGTGTTGCGATGTGTGCACTCTTCTCCCTCACTGCCGTGTCCATTGCCGCCCTGGTCTTCCTTTAGATTCCAAGTCTGAATCCTACTGAGTCTGTGGACTTAATCTCTTCTGTCTTAAAGAGCTTGCCTGTCAGAACTTTTTATAAAACAAGACCACTTCCCTTTTAAGACCATAGGTTTGAATGATGATCTGTCTGAACCGCTGTGAAATGGTGGAACGAGAAGCTAGTTCCCAGAGAGAGGGGGCCATCAAAAATGACAAAGAGCAGTGGCTGCTAGGTAAAATCTTACAGCATGAACTACATCCAGGTAATGTAGGGAGCTCTCCTTCTGATGAAGTGGAGCCAGATCAAGGATGGAAAAGACAACGACCTGGTTAAAGGCAAAAACTACCTTGGGTAGGAAGGAAATTCTGGGCTTCAATACACCTTGTACTTGTGTAAGACTAGAAAGAGTTCATTACAGGATAAGGCCACTATCTCAGACACACCTTGGAGAGGAGGTGGCAACAAGAAACGCAACCATGTGAAATAGTGAAAAGGGGAATATCCCTGATAGGTTCAAAAGTGGTTTTTGAAATGCCAACAAGGTTTTAAATCAAATAATAGGAAGCTATTGCTCTCTGGAACAAGACTGCAAGTAAGACCTTACACTTGGTGTTGATGTGTTAATGGTGTTAAGGGCCAAATGCTGGTACACACCCATCTGTAAAAAGAAAGAAAAAAAAACAGAATTTGTCCCACTGAGAATTTCTTGGAATGAAGGTCTCACACTTCGCACCAAGTGAAGTACGCCTTTCTTGTGCGGTGATAGACCTTACGGGAAAGTCTTCCTAGCTTTTAGCATCATGGGAATAACCGATTCAGAGATGCCTCTGCCACTTGGGCTTCAAATTAGGGATGCACCGATATATATCGGCCGAAAATGGCACTTTTGGCATAATGCCGAAAGAGCCATGTTTCGGCCGATACATCGGCCCATCCCTGGTTTCTTTTCTCCCCGCTGGGTGCTGTTCCAGCGGGGAGAAAAGAAAGTGACAGCCGGCCGAGCGCTGCAGGACGAGAGCGCTGTGAACGGCCATCTCTCCTCCCACACCGCTCAGCCGCCTATCACAGTCCGGCAGAGCGGTGTGGGGGCGGAGACAGCACTGTCGCAGGAGGCTGGGCTCTCCTCTCTACACCGCTGGATTAGCCTCCTGTGACAGCGTGTCAGAGGGAAAAGCAAGGTACACACACTCAGTGAGTGATCGCTGAGTGTGTGTACATAATTGAGAATATGGTATGTTAACTATATCCTCAATTATGAATGAATGGGAGTGATCTACATCACCCCCATTCATTCATAATTGTGGTTATAGTAAACAATGTTCTCATGTTATGAATGAACAGGAGCACTCAGAGGATTCCTGTTCATTGATAACAGGGGACACAGAAAAAGAGATTGAGGAGTGTTCTCAATCTCTCTTTCTATTTTAAAAGGGAAATATCAGGGGTCTGTTCAGACCCCTAATATTTCCCCGAAGCCCCTAAAAGTAAAGTAAAAAATAAAAATATTTAATAAAAAAATGAATATAAAAAAATTTAAAAAGTTTCTAAAAAATAAATTATATAAAAAAATTGAAAAAATAAAAATAAGAAACATTTTCGGTATCGGTTTGGGCCTGACTTTTTTATTTCGGTTTCGTTTCGGTTTTAAAATTTCCATTTCGGTGCACCTCTACTTCAAATAGCTATGCTTCTAAAGTACGCTATCACGAATCAGGGTAGTAATTCGGTCCTTGAGACAGAAGATTCAATCCTTGAGAAGGCAACGGTTTAACTCAACAGTACAAGACTTCCTGTGTTACATAATGGATGAGAAATTAATGGTATACAACTTCAACTGTGTGTAAACCCTAAAATCTATATTTTAGTATGCTTAGCATGACATCTCAATGTATACACTTTTCTTAATTGTGTGAATCTGTTCCAAAGCTTTTTACCTAGAGATCTTGTCTGCTACCTATTGCAAGGCAGTGGCTTAGGGTTGTCAGTCTGCAACAAGAAGTGGTTACTGTGTTGTCAGCCTTCAGCTGTTGAGCTGCATAACTGATAGGCAAACTTGACAGACAGCATAACTGATAGACCTGAGGTGTGTTCAGTTGCTCAGCCGCTGTGAGTACCGAGTTAGCAAACCTCCACTGAAGGCTGTGCTGCGAGTCAGCGCTCAGGACTGCTAACTTAGCACTCACAGTGGAAGTGAATGTGGATGCAGGGTGCCAATTGTAATGGAGAAGGTGTGGACAAAGCACCAGGGTCCATTTTAACTGTGAACACACCTGACAGCGCTGGAAAAAGGCCTGAACCTCGATGAAAGAAATCAATTCAATGTGGGAACCTACAACTCAATGTTTTGATGGACGAGTACACCAAATATTCGTTGGAAAAGTGGTACTTATTAGTCAACAATACTATCCTCCGCCATTTTGCTTAGCACTGTGCAGTCAAAGCGTTCAGTAAAGCTGCTGCAGCGAACAGCTACTTAGCACTTGGCTCAGGAACTGAACATGCCTCTGATAGGCAGCCCAACAGCCAACTAAAGGAGTGCAAATAGCAGACTGACAAATAAAAAGGGAATTCAAAATCAGATTGTAATGTGTGTGGTGAGCTTAAACTGGATAAGCAGTTGCTCAAGTATTATGGTAAATATGCAATTTTTTATTATTTAAATTTTATTCAGTTCAAAAAACCCGATGTTCAAAGACAAAATACAATATGTAAAAAAAATAGGTCAGCTTTACAGATGGCATACATAAGTGCAGAGTCATATAATTATATTTTTACATTTGTTTTTTTTTAAGTTTCAGTTTAAGAATTTTTTTGTGAATCGTTCGAAGTTAAGGGATGGCGTTGATGGTTCAGGTGAATGCAGGAAATGTAGGTACATTAAAAGACAAGTCACTGGAGTGGCAGTCAGAACAGAAAAGGCAAGGGAGCTGGAATGGGAGAATTGAGCACAAACTTATTAAGAGTTCAGCAAACTACTAAAGTAAATTGAGAAGGCTTTGGTAACCAAGAAACCAAAAGGTGAACATGAAAACCACCTGAAAAGCATAATTACCCATTACCAGCAGTGTAAGAGAGAAATATGTAACTTTGGTGAGGACAACTACAAACACGACACTATTTAAAAAGATAAGTGCATTTATGCTTTTTGCCCCTTCCCCTGACCTCTAGTGGTGCAAGTCTTCACTGTCCTGGCAGCGCCTACGCATTAGTGCCCTATAAACTTCTATGATGCGGTTTTCCAAGGCCAGAGATGATGGGAGCCAGCCCCATAAAAGTTTAATATGCCAGCGCAGCCAGGACATTAAAGACTTGCAGCACTGACCGTAAACAGAAGAACCAGACATCAGAATGAGGTAAGAATGCATCTGTGGTGGGGTGGGTGTGTTAGGTTAAAAGGTTAAGGATAAATGCACTTTGTTCTAAAGTGCACTCAGCCTTTTATCATACTCCCAGCAGCGGCTGCCACAATATGTACCCAAGCTTTTCAAACTTTTTATGGAATGATAAAATAGAACCAACACACACTGTATTCCACAGGAAGTGGGTGCCCATACTGACCCCCAAGTTCATAAGGTGCTCCCTTCCTCCAGTTCTGCTATCACTGCTCCAAAGGGTAGGCCTTTCTCCAAGATGCCAAGGAGACTGCAGTTATAATGTCACTCTCTGCTCTACCAATAAAGGTGCCCTGCAAAACACTGGCAGTTTACTATAGAGAATGCTACCAGATAGACTTCATTTAGGTTGGTAGTCCTCCAACATCTGAAGTCGACAAAGGGCATAGCAGTGTTATGCTGCAAAATTGGCACTGTGCCTGGCCCTCTACTTTCATAAATAAGCCTAAGTAGGCTCAATTCACTAAGCTTTATCACAAAGATAAGGATCTATATTTTAGCTGCGTCACTGTAATTTTTAAAACTCATTGGACACTTTTTGAAAACAAGGATTCTTATCCTGGTATGTTAACTTTGAGAAATGAGCCTATTGTCTTACGTAGTGTTCTTCCCAAGTAATGTAAAAACCTAACAAATATGTTTACGATATAATCAAGGATATCTATATGTAGCTCTAGAACAAATGCAACAATCTAACAAACGCAGGGAGGCCACACATTGCAATCCAATTGTACAATCTCCATTAAATTTACCAACTACAGTGTGTGGTTTATCTGAATAAATATAAACTGAATGGAATGTTTAGGTTCTGACACTAAATAGTTGTTGTCAATCTAAAAGGAGATTGTACATTAAAATTTAATTTGGCTGGCCAGCTTTATTCTAACACAATTTTCATGAAGCGTTTAGGACCGATGCACAGCAAAACATTTATATATACAGATTAGCATCTTTCTCTGCTATGTTATTTTTAAAACCTTTTATCTGGGGTGAACAACTTAAAAAAAAAAACCTTCCCTAGAGATAATATCTAGTAACATGAACATCTTTTTCCAATTTTTAAAAGACGTTGACAAAGTGCTGTAGATGAAGTGCACACATTTATATGGTGTATTTGCTGTGGCGAGCTAAGAAATGGCTTGGTCAAAATACCACTGCTTCATGACATCAACTTCACAGTTTTCTTCCACCAACTTCTGGCTCTGTAAAGACATTTCTTTGTTCACTTTGGATGACAAATCTAGGATCTGGTGTAAACTCCTGTAACAAAGTGTAAGAATGATCATTTATATTTACAAAATGCATTCACATAAAGATGGTGCAATGGTTTTCAGCTAGATACATTAGCTTGGCCCCACCTGAACCTTTTTACACATTAGGTTACCCACAGACATGAGATGCCTGAAACAGCTGCCATCTCGTGTCTGTGGTTGGTATTCATGCCCTCTCACTTCTCTATTAAATCTACTTGTAAGTAGGGAGGAACTACACTACCTCCCTATTTGATGTCCTTGTAACGGTTTCCACAATCCCCACCAGTTAACTGTAAAACAATCCTCGGTTGCATTACAGACTGTTCTAGTTTATGGCTGTAGTGTTATGCAATCATTCAGGATATGAAAAAACCTGACATAACAAATACAATACCGTGACCTTAAACATACAAGAGGTCTGGCTATTATGCTGCTCATCTTGATTTATGCAACCTCATCTTTGGTTTATACCTCCTATACGGGGCTTGTGAGGGAATGTGAATGACGTTTGAAGATCCATTTCCCGTAACTATCTACCCAATTCCTTTCTCCAAATTCTCACATAAAGGTGAGGAGCTTAGAACCAGCATGGTGCAGCAGGGTCACAAAGCAATGAAAGGAGCGGAAACGGTCCTTTATGGAGACATAGGTCTTCTAATTATGTAAAATCTCTACAGATCTTGCCTCAATTTTTTAAGTTGATCAATGAATCCCTGTATTTGGGAATATTGTAACCAACAGCCAGGACAAGGGTCTAAGTCCCGGTGTGTATTAAGCAGTTGGTGGACAATGCTTTTGATATAGGAAAGGGATACCCACAAAACCAATAGAGGTACAAGGCACAGTGACAACTCGGTGGAAAGACTGAGTTTCTAAAACTTGGGGTTATTTGACCCATATGAAAACAATTATATAGTGTGTCTAATCACATAGTCCCAAACCACAAAACAGAGGAGGGATGCAGGCAGGAAAGAGAGTGCTGGTCAATCTTGAGCCTGCACCCATGTCAGTGAGATGAGAGGTATATGAGATAGCATGTTTGCTATTCTGACCCATAATTTGTCTTGCTGTGGGAAATCCAGCTAAAGATATGAGCTAAGAGAGTAGACTAGTAAAGGGCAACATGTGGGATGCCCAGGACCGCAAATTGCTTCTGCCTTAATCAAAGTGTCATAGAGCAGTAGCACTGGTGTATATGCCTGGAAGTGTTGGCAGTGCCACAGATTATTGTTGTAAAGAAGCTTTACAGTGAACTCACAATCAAGTAAATTAGCATTAGAAATAAATAGGAATGCACCAATACCAGTTTTTAGGTACCTAGTACTGATATTTTTTTTCCCGGCACTCGCCGATACCGAATACCGGAAGTCCCATTAAGGAAGCCAGGTGGCGTGTAATGACTCGCCACCTGGCTTCTCGATTAGCAGGTAAGCCGTCTCCATGCTTCCTTGTCACCAGGTGATGAGAAAGCATGGATCCAGCTTTCTGGCCAATCAGAAAGCCGGGCACCGTGTAATGATGCAGCGCCTGTCTTCCTGATTGGCCGGGAAGCCGACTCCATGCTCCCTCATCACTCGTCCTTATACTGGTAGTGCAAGTATCGGGCTAGGCATCGGAGCATTTGAGCAAGTACGAGTACTTGCCCAAATACTCGGCATCGGCACAGATACTAGTATCGGTGCATTCCTAGTAATAAAATTCAACAAACTCTCTAGGAGCATTATTTCTTAGCTTAGTATACAGAAGGATTTTTTTTTAATAATTTAATATTTCTAGGTGGGCAGTGGCACAGAGGTAAAAATTACAAAAAAAAGGAGAAAAGGAAAAAATGGCAAAACAGAAGTTTGGCTATTTGCTATGAAATAAAAAGGCAGAAAAACAATTACATTTTAGTTTTGGGCAGTATTGATTTATCATGTTGGTGGAAGAATGTCGGAAATTCCATAAACACTGTGTCCGAATACAATCTCCAGACAAACAGCCAGTAAATTTTTCAGGCTGCTCAATTTTTAGAGGAAAGGTTTGGGACAAACTTATCCCCCCTTTGGTAAGTCACCTTTGGAGAGAGTTCTTGTCTTTTGAAGTGGCAACGGGTAATATGGACCAGCTGATTCTGATTGCAAAGGCCTCTCCTTCCTTGGAGAGTTGTAGTTGCACGGTATGCGAGGGTTCTTCCATAGTTTGAGGTGACATTACTCTCATCTACAATCACAAACCTATAGGTTCCGGTCGGAAATTTTTTGTTGGCAGTTAGGTGTTAATTTAAGTCTGCAGGCCTGGGCGGTCTTAAATTCTACATTGTGATCATTTATCTAAACTATTAAACCACTGAAGAAAATATCATCTCTTTTTGCTCTTTGGGAATCAGTGTGATGTTGGCCTCTGGTGCTGGTCTAGGACAGGATGTCTGAGATGAGACTCGTTTAAAGTGTTTATAAAAAGGCATGGGTGAACCCATCAGGGCCTGGACTTTTACTCAACGGCAGGGAAGATATACTGTAGTATGTTAGATTTCAAGAGAGGTAAAAGGAGACAATGAAGCATCAGTGGCAGACCAAGGCAAGGAGGGGAGTTTTGTGGACTCAATACATTCGTGGAGTTTGGTCTGGTAGTAGGGACGAGGGGTCAGCGCCAAACGCGAGCAAATATTATATAGCCGTATAATATTCCTGAAATGCTCAGGCTATGTTTCACAACAGTTCTACAGTTCCCTGAACTGACCATTTCTGCCATGTCTTGAGGATGATTGTTAAAATATCTGTGCTTGAGTTTCACACACTTACTGTGGCCATTTATAAGAGATTCTCACTTTTCCGTTTAAATTATTTATTGTTTTATATAACGAAGAAGGCAATAGGGGAAGCTGGAACATCTGAAAGTAGGCCAGAATGTCACAATTCCCAGGTTATAAGGAATAGTTAGGAATTATGGCAGGGAGATCATGCTGTTGGAGTTGTCAAAGACATAATAATCCAGAGGCTGAATCAATTCACTAAACTTCACCTTGAACTAAAACCCCACTTTTTGGTTAAGTGACCCTTTAACATACCTTGAAAGCTCTGTATCCGTCTTAAGTGCAATATCTTCCAAACTCTTAATTGTGGCCAGCAAATCTATGCTTTCATCACATGAGCGTGGAATGGCCTCTTCTACAAGCGTTTTAGTGGCACTCAGATGCTTTTGAATATTATCTTTAAAAAAACAAAACCAAAAGGAATGTGAAAAATGATTTACAAAACAGTCTACAATCTACCATTATTGCATACATATGGAGCTGCATGTGCTACGTGAACCCAAAATGAGAATACTTAAGAAACGCACAAATTTATAACACTAATACAGACTAGATATTTTGTTGACATGAACCTTAAACAGCAAAAGGCTGTGCTTGGTGAGACTATAATATTTTCCAATTTTGTTTGATGGTTAAGTAGTGATGTTGACATAAAAAGTCTTGGTGAATAATTCAGACAGTTTGACAATATTCGACATACCTCTGCTCCACTCAGGCAGTTCCAAGCCATTTGGAGGGGGAAAAAAAAAAAACTTGCACTGAAAAGGGATGAACTGCAGCTAAGAGATATGAATACCTTATATAACTTGAGCAGGATGTAACAGTATTAAAGTACTTAACATAAAAATATAGTGCATTGTTTTTATGCCTAGATATTGCGGTTACATTACTTTAGTTTTTTTAGGTTCCCCGCCCCCTTATTTTGATCATATGATCCTGCAATTAACATACTTTGTGTCTAAAACTGGGTACACAAGTTGCCATTTTATTCTTTGAATGTGGGCTGAATGGAAAAAAGAAAAAAAAAAAAAAGGAAGGAGATTCATAGTTACGTAGTATTTGAGGTTGAATAAAGACATTAGTCCATCAAGTCCAACCTATCAGGATCTCATTCTAGGAGTACCTGTACCCCTGTATATTACGGTCCCTTAAGAAATCGTCCAAAAGTTTCTTGAACAATTCCACATTATTTGCTGAAATCACCGCCTGTGGCAGTGAGTTCCAGACCCTAACTGATCTTACTGTGAAGAACCCCCTTCGCCCCTTGTGCTGGAATTTTTTTTCCACCAATTTTAGGTGGTGGCCTCTAGTTTTTGTAACGGAGTTAATTTTAAACAGTTTATCGCTAATGTTGCTACCACCATTGAACATTTTGTACATGGAAATCATATCCCCCCTTAATCTCCTCACCTCTAATGTGAACATGTTTAAATTTAGTAGCATTGTCTCGTAGCTCTGGTCCTCCATACCCC